CACTTCCTTCACCCACAGATGGACGTATGACGGGTCATGATTCATAGTAGAAATTCCACAAAACCGATTGGATACTGTGTTCCCAGGGCGTTGTGGGCGTGAGGCTCGATGTAGTATCAATATCTCGTATCGCGTTGTATGCTCCAGCGATCGCAAAGTGCGACTTACGTTAGACTTTTTTCGCTGGTGATCTTCACGGTCAGGGCCCTTCGGGGATCCTCCTCACTGGGTCGTAACTAGTCTTGCTTGAGATAACAACACCCGTGCCGCGACCAGGAGCTCCTGGATCGTGTGCCAAGGCGTTATTGCAGGCTTGCTGAGGCTTATGCCTAGGTTAACTGTTCTATCTGAATCAGTCGGTTGTGTGTTCAGTTTATACCTTACCTTGGGTGGTGCTCCAAGACGACTGACTGAACTACCCAGACGTGTTCTCAGTCGCTGCTTGAAAGCTCATCTCTCGAGCCTTCTGAGTTCTTCGAATACTGTCCATGCCAAGGACTTGAAAGTTTCTCACATTGTTTTTTGAAAATTTTCCAGCTATGCTGTCCACCCTGGTCTCGCGCGGTATCGCTGCATCTGTGCCGCTGTCGAGCCTGAAGGGCAGAGCCTTCTCCTCTACCGCTCGTGTGTGGGTCGACAAGAACACGAAGGTCATTTGTCAGGTGATTTGCCCAACGCTTTGCACAGACGCTTTGCACAGACGCTTTGCACAGACGCAGGGATTGAACTTGAACTTTTTACTCTGTAGGGCCTCACTGGGAAGCAAGGAACCTTCCATACTGCGCAAGCAATAGAGTACGGGACCAAAATGGTTGGCGGTGTAAATCCTAAGAAGGCTGGGACCACCCATAATGTGGGAGGCAAGGTGACCTTGGGGTTTCGTCCGTTGGTTCTCGTCCAAGGGCGGTCTCAGAATCTCCCGATCTTCGCGAACGTTATGGAGGCACGTCAAGCTACAGGGGCTGATGCTTCCGTCGTCTACGTCCCGCCATTCGCCGCCGCCTCAGCTTGCTTGGAAGCCATAGAGGTATGCAATGCCCTTATTGGTGGAATATAGCATGTTGGTTCTCCTCCAGGCGGAAATTCCTCTCCTGGTGTGCATCACAGAGGGCATTCCTCAGCACGACATGGTAAAGGTGAGCTCGTCATCCGGTAGTTATTCGACATGTGGGTTACAAGTTTGGCATGCGTGATCAGGTGAAGGCCG